TGTTAGTGTATATGGGTTACAACAAAAGGGAATATTTGTTTGTTTGTGCTTTTTGCTTTTTGCATTCTGTGATATCTTTAGGATATCTTCAGAATCTTTTTAGTGGACAGCTGTCCTGCCACCTCTCTAATTTTTCTCTCTCTGCTGGTTGCTTTTACAACCGTTTTCTCTCTTTTCTCTCACTGTTGTTTTTAGAAAAGGTTCCCTATATATTCAGCTCTCCTTGTATTCCTTCGTAAGCATCAACGATAATAAAACTTCACTATTACATTTTACCTCTCTTGATTTTATCTAACATGGTATCAAGAGCCTTCTGATCCTGTACCCGGATCTTAATTTTTCTTCCTCATCTCTTCTATGGCAACTTCAAATAATTCCTCTCCCTTTTCACAATTTTTCTCCAACTCCATAGCTGAAAAACTTGATGATTCAAATTATCTTCACTGGAGGCAGCAGATCGAACCAGTCATCAAATCCCACAAACTTCAACGGTTTGTGGTTAATCCGCAAATTCCACCCCGGTATCTGACAGATGCTGATCGTGATTCTGATATTGTTAATCCAGCATATGAAACCTGGGAGGTCCAGGATCAAATGCTTCTCACATGGCTGCAATCGACGCTCTCGAAGTCTATCCTTTCCCGTGTCATTGGCTCCGTTCACTCTTATCAAGTGTGGGACAAGGTTCACGAGTATTTTCATACTCAAACTAAAGCTCGTGCTCGACAGCTCCGCACTGACCTGCGTTCCACCACTCTTGATGGTCAGTCTATGCGTGATTTTCTGACTCAAATTAAAACTATTGCTGATGAACTTGCTGGAGTTGGGAGTCCTGTGTCTCTTGAAGAATATGTTGATGCTGTTCTTGAAGGTCTGCCTCAGGAGTATGCACCTGTGGTCTCTGTTATTGAAAGCAAGTTTGTCACTCCTCCTATTGCTGAAGTGGAAGCTCTTCTTCTTGCTCATGAGTCAAGAGCTAACCGGTTTCGTAAGCAATCCTTTTCTCCTTCAATTAATTACACTCAGGGTTATTCTCGTGGCAGTGTTAGTGGTGGTCACAGTGGGCGTCGTGGTGGTCGAGGTTCGGGCAGAGGCCGTGGTGGTCGTTTTGCTAATTTCCAGTGCCAGATTTGCTTCAAGTATGGCCATACTGCCAATGTTTGTTTCTATAGAGCTGATGTTAATTATCAACCTGCAGAATCCCTTGTTCTGTATGATCCTACCACACTGCAGCCTGTGCAGGTCACTTCTTCTTCAAATCTTAAAGGCTCCAACACTTGGGTGAATCCTAATCCGAAACAGCCCAGCCAGGAGGCTCGTGTTAATGTCACACCAAGTGCTATGGTTGCTAATACTTCTCAACCAGGTGCTAACTCTTCATGGATTCCTGATTCTGGTGCTTCATTTCATGTTACTGGTGAGCCTCAGAACATTCATCAACTTGAGCATTTTGATGGTCCAGACCAAATTTTCATAGGAAATGGTCAAGGTTTGCAAATCAATGGTTCTGGTACTTCCATTTTTATTTCTCCTATCAACTCTCAATTTAAGTTTCACCTGAATAATCTTCTCCATGTTCCTCTTATCACCAAAAATCTGTTGAGTGTCAGTAAGTTTGCTAAAGACAATTGTGTTTTCTTTGAGTTTCATGCTAATCATTGTCTTGTCAAATCTCAGGACACCAATGAGGTTCTTCTTCAAGGTGTTGTTGGTGCTGATGGGCTTTATTCTTTTCCTCATCTAAAGCTCCAAGGTCCCTCGGCATTGGTCTCTTCTTCAGCTCAAATACCCTCTCAGTCTGCTGTTTCACCTTCTGCAGTCTTAGATAGTTTCAATTTCAATAAAAATTCTGATGTATCTAGTTCTTCCACTATGTGGCATACTAGACTTGGTCATCCTAATTCTCATGTTCTTAAGCTTGTTCTTACACAATGTAACCTTCTCTCATCAAATACACATGTTACTGAATTTTGTTCATCTTGTTGTGTTGGAAAATCTCGTAGACTTCCTTCTTCTGCATCTCAAACTATATATTCTGCCCCCTTGGATGTAATTTTCACTGATTTATGGGGACCATCTCACATTACATCTTTTTCTGGTTATCTTTACTATGTTGCCTTTATTGATGCTTTCTCTAAATACACCTGGATATATCCCTTAAAATCAAAGGCTGAAACTCTATCTGTTTTTCAACAATTTAAGGCTATGGCTGAATTACAATTCAACACCAAAATTAAAAGTGTTCAATCTGATTGGGGAGGGGAATACCGAGCTTTTACTTCCTTTCTTGCCACAAATGGAATCCAACATAGAGTGATTTGTCCCCACACACATCATCAAAATGGTGTGGTTGAAAGGAAACATAGACATATTGTTGAAATTGGTCTCACCCTTCTTCATCATGCCTCCTTACCTCTAAAATTTTGGGATTTTGCTTTTACCACTGCTGTTTATCTTATCAATAGATTGCCTTCTGCTGCATTAAACTTTAATGTTCCTTTCACTACTTTATTCAACAAATCACCAGATTACAAATTCTTAAGAACCTTTGGTTGTGCTTGTTTTCCTTTCTTAAGACCATATGCCAGTCATAAACTTAATTTCAGATCCCAGGAGTGTGTTTTTCTGGGATACTCAAACTCTCACAAAGGGTATAAATGTCTCTCTTCTTCTGGCCGAATTTACATTTCAAAGGATGTCATCTTTAATGAACATAGGTTTCCTTACACAGATTTGTTTCAGCCAAGCCTTACACAAAATGTCTCTCCATGTCAATATTTCAATCTCAATCCAGATTTGTCTCCTCCTTGCACCACTTCAACTGTTCTCTCCCAGCAGCCTCCTTTGCCTTCTCAAATTGGTGATTCAAGTGTATCAATCATTCCTTCCGTGTCTTCTTCCCAAAATGTATCTCCTTCATCTCCTGAGTCTTCCTCACAAAATGTCTCTTCTCCTACCTCTTCCACTGCCCCTGCCAGTATACCAAGAACCATTAATAACCATCCTATGCAAACTAGGTCTAAATCTGGCTTTCATAATCCTCGGATACATCCATCCCTGTTCTTAGCTCATAGTGAACCTAAAACTGTTAAGCAAGCTCTTGCTGATCCTAACTGGTTCTCTGCTATGCAACAAGAGTACAATGCCTTAATGCTCAATCATACTTGGGATTTAGTTTCTCTGCCATCTGATCGCAAAGCAGTTGGATGTAAATGGGTTTTCAGAGTCAAGGAAAATGCTGATGGCTCTATAGATAAGCTCAAAGCTCGGCTAGTTGCAAAGGGTTTTCATCAAGTGCATGGTTTTGATTTTCATGAGACTTTCTCCCCTGTTATTAAACCTATAACTATTCGCATTATTCTTACTCTTGCTCTCACCAATAATTGGAATCTATTTCAGCTTGATGTAAATAATGCTTTTCTGAATGGCACTTTGGAAGAAACTATTTACATGGTGCAGCCTCCTGGATTTGAAGCTGGGGATAAGAGTCTGGTTTGCAAGCTAAACAAGGCCCTCTATGGCTTGAAACAAGCTCCTCGTCAATGGTTTAACAAATTAAAATTGACTCTAACTCGGTTTGGCTTTCAAGCTAGCAAATGTGATCCATCTCTGTTTCAGTACCAACATCAAACTCATACCATTTTTATTCTAGTTTATGTGGACGACATCATTATCACTGGCAGCTCTTCTTTGCTCATTCAACAAATCACCAACCAACTTGACTCAATTTTCTCTTTAAAGCAATTGGGAAGCTTGGATTACTTTCTAGGTATTGAGGTTAAACACTTGCCTGACAAGTCTCTGGTTCTGACTCAAAGCAAGTACATTCGAGACCTTCTTTTTAAAACTAATTTGGCTGAAGCTCATGGTGCTCCTTCTCCTATGTTCTCTAACTGCAAATTGTCCAGGTCTGGGAATGACTTCTTTCATGATCCCACTTTTTTTCGATCTGTTGTTGGTGCCTTACAGTATGCTACACTTACAAGACCTGAAATCAGTTTTGCTGTTAACAAAGTTTGTCAATTTATGGCTACTCCTCTTGACTCTCACTGGGTGGCTGTCAAACGTATCCTCAAGTATTTAAAAGGCACACTCTCTTATGGTCTTCATATGCAACCTGCTGCTGTAAACGGCCCCATCTCTCTCACTGCCTTTTGTGATGCTGATTGGGCCTCTGATATTGATGACAGGAGGTCCACTTCTGGTTCTGCTATCTTTTTTGGACCCAATTTGATATCTTGGTGGTCCAGGAAACAGCGTGTTATTGCTCGGTCCAGCACAGAAGCTGAATATCGCAGTATAGCCCAAGCCTCTGCTGAATTAACTTGGATTCAAGCCCTTTTGCAGGAACTTAAGGTTCCCTTTTCTACACCTACTTTACTCTGTGACAATCAAAGCGCGGTGGCCATTGCTCACAATCCTGTTTTCCACAGCAAAACAAAGCACATGGAGATTGATGTGTTCTTTGTTCGTGACAAAGTCCTATCCAAGCAACTTCTAGTTTATCACATACCAGCTCTTGATCAATGGGCTGATCTTCTTACTAAGCCTTTGTCTGCTGCTCGGTTTGAAGTTCTTAGGAACAAACTCAAAGTGCAAAGTTTTTGTGTCAAAACTTCACCTTGAGTTTGAGGGGGGCTGTTAGTGTATATGGGTTACAACAAAAGGGAATATTTGTTTGTTTGTGCTTTTTGCTTTTTGCATTCTGTGATATCTTTAGGATATCTTCAGAATCTTTTTAGTGGACAGCTGTCCTGCCACCTCTCTAATTTTTCTCTCTCTGCTGGTTGCTTTTACAACCGTTTTCTCTCTTTTCTCTCACTGTTGTTTTTAGAAAAGGTTCCCTATATATTCAGCTCTCCTTGTATTCCTTCGTAAGCATCAATGATAATAAAACTTCACTATTACATTTTACCTCTCTTGATTTTATCTAACATCAATGTAGACAAGGATATCTTTTTATTATGAATGATGTTTACATTTCCCAAAAACGTTAGCTCCCAAAAAACAAAGATAAGTTTACTAATCACAAACCACTAAAAATCATTCACTAATGCAAATTATTGAGAGAGAAAAAAGAGTACAGTTTTCAATTATACAACAAGGTAAATAATTCCTGTTTGTTGGACATGCAGAGAGATTTCTAAGCCTTGTTTAGTTGACATTCCTTTCCATTTCTTATTTTTTGTGTTTTCCCCTACGATATGTTATCCCCCATTCTTGAGCTTCTTTCATTCTCTTCCCTAATGATACATTTTTTATCTGAAAAGGTAAGGAGTAACTCTTGTGCATTACAAATAGGAAAAATGAATAATGAAAAAATATTGAAAATATAAAACAAAAATAAAATATATGAACCAAAGTCACCAAGGAATAGTGAACTAACTCACTTTCCATGTGCAGTTTCTCCTGAGAGCATGATAGCATCAGCACCTTGTCTTACCGCAATTGCAATGTCAGAGACTTCTGCCCTTGTTGGTGTGGGATGATTAATCATGCTTTCAAGCATATTTGTTGCCACAATAACTGGCTTTTGCATACTGTGACATCTTCTAATGATGTCCTCCTGTTTGATTAAAAAAGGGGAATGAACTACATAGAACACAGAATTAAGCATAGTCCCAGTTCCTAAATATCAGTGAAACGAGAAACATAATCATTCCAATAACAAGGAAAGAAGTGGTTAAAGAAAACTAATAAAACAGAACAAAAACATAAGTTTGAAAACATTATATGTCATAATCTAATAATTACATGACATCATCTAGTTTGAGTAAACTGTTACATGAGTTGGTATCGGTAGGACATAATAGCAATATGATCTTCAAACCTTTTACTCTGTTATACGGAAGCATCAGAGGAGAGGAAAATATTTTCTCTTCTCAAATTCTATTTCAGTTGATTGGTTTTACACAATATACACAAACATGCAATTTCTTTTATAGGTAAATTTTTAAATATATCATCATTAAAATGAAAAATTTTAATACCAAAGGAATAGCATTAAATGCTTCCAGCATAACATCATCTACTTTTCTCAAATCTCAAGTGATGGAACCAGTATTTCACATTGTAATTTGTCTCACCAAGCAGGACATTGGAAGAAGTTGTTAAGAGGGATATCATGGTGAATAATATCTCTGATGATTGGTCTTTAACAGAGTCAAATGGAGTCATGTAACCAACTTCACCTCGTGGGATAAGACTTTTGTTTCTCTTAAGTGGGTACTATATATCCCATGGTGGATAAGATATCCTTGGACATCCAATGACCTCATTCGTAAGCAATTTTTTGGTTTTCAAATTTAAAGGCATCGAATATAACAGACCTAGATTTGAATTGTTTTTAACAGGCTCTATATCACCACCCTTTATGAAAAAGTAAGATTGTAGTCGAGAAAGACCATCATTGGGAGTTCACTGTACAAGCAGAAAGAGAAGGGCTTTCCACAAAATTGATGTATGTGACTATCAATATGATCCTACAAAGTGCAACTCACAACAGCTAATGAAGTTCCTCTTATTTTATTAGGTTTTCTTAATGACAGTAAAAACTGCATCCAAAGTTAGTTATACCAAAACAATTATTATCAACATATTTTGTAGATTATGTCATGCAAGAACTTGTATACATCTCATCAACTGTGAACTTTGACATACACATCACGTTACTCTGAGCACCACATTACCTGCAATAATGGAACTTCCTCTATTGGAAGTTCAGCTCCAAGGTCCCCACGAGCAACCATGGCCTGCAAAATAAATAAAACTCTCAAAATGAAACTGGATGCTTCATAATGGTAAAGATCTTGCTTTGATTCATGATATTTAAACAAAAGAATCTCCATTACACCTAGTTATCTGGTATTTTGATCTGTAAATCAAGAAATCAATCAATCATGCAGAAACAACAAGCACCAAAAAACCACCATTGGTCCATTATTTGTCCAGAAATCATGCAAGCAGTGTATATGCTATTGCTATCATAAGACAGTTACCACCATGATTGCATGAAATGGTTTCCTATGTTAAAAATGATAAGGAGCATACTGCAACAAGACAAGACGTGCACCATCATATGGCGCATAACAGATATCACATGTGCAATACTAAGACAGGGAAAACTACAGTAGCTTCTGATCAACCCATCATCAGCTCAAGATGCAATTATGTTCCCCTTACACCCCATGTAGAATGAGACACATATCTTGATAAGATTTTGAAGAATATTTACCAGACTGATCAACTTACTGAGGAAAACAGCAACCCAGTTACTTGAGTTTTGTGCCTTATACAATGATTAAGAATTTTCAAATCCTGACTCACTTGTAGAATAAGTGATAAGGTTAACTTGAAATGTTCCAATTTTTCAGTGTCTTTTTAGGTACTATTTTCACAGAAAACATAATAGAAGTAAGAACTGCTATTCATAACAAATATCTATTCCTCCATGTAATCAATTTCAGTTCTCATATGTTCAATACTAATTGCACCGAAACAAATAAATAATAAAAGCAGGCCAAAAAACATGATAACCAACATGACCTAAATTTCAATCTTATTAATATGTAATATCCACAATACATAATGTGAACAGTATGAAACTAACCCCATCTGAAGCTGAAAGTATCGAATGAAGATTTGGTATGGAATCTGCACTTTCAATTTTTACAATCACATGTATATCGGCATTATGACCTATATAAAAAAGTTTACAATAACAGTTGATAATGAGAATGATGAAACATTGAAATAATACATTACTGCTTCTAACTTCTACCCATAACTGCCAACGTGACACTTATTACACGTATCTAATAATGCATGACTGCTCATGATAGTGATTATCCATTCCCAACAGACAGGCTATAATACCCCAAGAAAAAAGAAACTTATACACACAGTTGCATGCTCCTAAATACACTAGCATAGAAAGGACACTAGACAGGAAAATAATTACTTTTGAGGTAATCTTTTAACTCATGAACCACTCTAGCATCCTTGACAAATGAGACAGCATAGAAGTCTACTTGATTGTCCACCCCAAACTTGATATCTTCCCAGTCCTTGTCTGTGAAGTAGAAACACATGGCAACAGAGCATAAAATTGTCAAATGCATTTGCATACTAAGAGTATCCAGGTACAAGTGAATAACTGAAACATAATGCCCATGCAATGTGTCAACAACAAATATAACATACTTATACCTGTTATGGAAGGAAGTGTTGCACTTTTTCCACGGACATTTAAATGACGCCTAGATTTCAATTCACCCCCATCAACAACCTCACATTTAACAATATCTTTTGTCTTTGACTTAACAGCAAGAGACATCATTCCTCCTAAAATAACAATCAGAAGAGATTAAAATCTCCTCTACAGATAATCAAAATCAGTGGTTATGCAACAATTTAATGAATTCCTCCAAAACATTTGAGATTACAAAAATAGGAGAAATATCTTACTGGTAGGTCATGCATGGTTAGCTATAACTACGACAATCAATGTCAAAACTTTCACCTAATCAAGCAAAACAACTGTGTGCATTGCACAGAAAGAGACCACCGTTCTTACCATCGACCAGCAACACATCTCCAACCTCCACATCATTCACAAAACCATCATAATTCACGCTAACCGTGTCTTCTGTGCTGACCCCTCTCCTAGTGGTGAAATAGAATTCTTGTCCTTCTTTAAGTAAAATTGGTTGAGGTACATCCCCACTTCTAACTTCAGGACCCTGCCAAGCACGCCAAACAACACACCCGTTCTATATTCAAAACTAAAAATACATGTTACAAATTCAAAAAACCTTAATTATCATCTCACACAAGAAGGATACTAATATAAACAATAAGTGTGTAAAAATCCTTCAGGCCAGCGGCAGTCACATACTCACCGAAGCACGAGCAGAGTTAGTCTCTGTTCCAATGGACCGGGATACTCATACCAGGACAAAAAATAATAATATTTCGGAACATCGATAATCATTAATGAGGAGTTTTATGGTAACATTGAAATTAAGTGTTAAGCTAAAAAGACGAAAACGGAAGGTATGAAAAAAAGGAGTTGACCTTGGTGTCGAGCATGATGGAAATGACCTTATCCTGAAATTGAGCATTGTATTCTTTCACCAAATCAATGGTTTGCAGGTGCGACGCGTGGTCCCCATGCGACATGTTCAAACGCGCCACGTTCATTCCCGCTTCGGCCAGGTTCCATATCATGTCACGTGAGCTCGTAGAAGGACCTATAGTGCAAACGATTTTAGTTTTCCTACGTGCGTCGGAATTATCCCAGGCGTGTCCCGCGCCATAGTTACCGGACTGAACCTCAACCGGAGAGGTTGCGTTGACCTGCACAATCAACGATTCAATTGAATAACGAACAGAGGTTGTAGATTGGAAAGTGAAGATAGTTTGCAGAGAGGAAGTTACGACGGTGGGAGAGCCGTTGGAGGAGTTGAATTGCGTTCCCTCGGTGTGGTTGGTTATCCGGGCGATTGTAGGTAGGCGTGGAATGCGTTTGGTGGGGGATTTGGAGAGAGAGAAATCGGATTGGAAGAGAGCCGTAGCGGCGGAAGAAAGATGAATGGATGCCATGATCGTTGATTTGAGATAGAAAAAGAGAGACGAAGAAGGTGAAGACTAAAGAGGGTTTAATTAGCAGTCACGAGAAAGGAGCATGAGCGATGGCAGCATACTAGCATATAGCATTCGCATGCATGATGCATCTAACACAAGTCTCCTTGCTCCACTACCAACTAATCAGTAATCAGTAATCACAACCAGGTGCCATGCCACTGGCGTTGTACTTGTGACGTCACGAAATACCTGCTCGTCATATTTTATTTTTATTTTAATAATAAATATACCGATCAATAATTAGCCTTTAAAATAAATAACTTTTGGGCTGAAAGCATATAATGGGTTGAAGCCCACGTTGATTGGCCCAAAGAGAAGGTCGTCCTGATGATGGACAAAGTGGTTGGTTCATGTTCTTCTTCTTCACTTTTCAGTTATTGATCAGAGCTGAATAACAAGATGAAGCTGTCCCTGAAGTTGGAGGGCGAAGATGAAAAAGAAAAATACAGCACGCAAATCATGACAGCAAAGGTACCCATCAGTATATGTTCGAACCCATTTATTTCGGGCGTGACAGCCACCACGAGCACCCACTCTCCCTCCCACTTTTCCTTCTCACTGTCCACAAACTTCCCATCTGGCCCATCCCTCCGCCTCTCCTACTCCCCCTCGGCCTCCCTCCCCTTCTCCCTCTCCCTGAAATCGGGCCTGGGCCTCCTGGGCTCCCCGGCCCACTCCCCTCTCGTCTTCTCCGCCAATTTCTCCCTCTCCCCTTCCCACTCCCCTCTCCCTTCCTTCTTCCTCCACTTCAAACCCCAACTCGGCCACTTCTCTCTCCACAAAACCGTTTTCTCGGAAAACAACGCCCAACCCCTCTCTCACCCTCCCGCACCTGAAATCGTCACCGATGGATCTTCCTCGGGATGGCACAATTTGAAACTGGAACCCTGTGTTGACTCTAACAACACGCACCAGTTAAACCCCAACACCGATTCAAAACACGCTCTCTCTTCAAAAATGCTTTTAAACTTGTACATAAACAGACTCTTAGTCATCTTAGCAATGAATCAGTTATTCAAAATGCTTCTTAAGAGGAAAACATAAAAGGCAAAACCTTGCCTGAATTCCTCTTCTACCAAGCTGTTTAACCGCAACTTCAATTTTTGTGGAAGGATCATCTACACTCTTGAGCAACCCCTTGTATACACACCCAAAACCACCCTCTCCAAGCATGACAGAGCGACTAAAATTCTTTGTGGCAGTTTTTAGCTCAGATACTGTAAATACTCTGAGGTTGCTGGGTCTTTGGGACAAACTGGGAAATGCACTTCTCCTTTGGGAATCTGTGCTGTTGTCCGAGGCATCCATAGAGTTCAATTCAGAACCAGATCTTCTCATCTCAGCCTCAACATATGTAGAACTGTTGGACCGACCCGACAATGACTGCAAGCCCTTGGGACCAGCCTTCCTCTCCCCAAAGTAAAATGCAAAACACTTCATTGGAACCTGACCGCAACTACACTGCATTTTCACAAAATTGAGGAACAAATTAAGAAACATAGAGTTGTTCAAAAGTAACATGACATCTAAATTGATGGTCATATATGATGAGTAGCGTGTTTGGTTTCACATCCCAGATATGGTTTGTCACCTTTACTAAAAAACTTATAGCTATAGCCTCCACATTCATGACATGATTTTTTTAATTCTTAACGAGTTTTCAAACGGACTCACTTTCCTAATTCTTCACCAATTCAGAAAGGAGAAACCCATTTGGAGCATCACCCCTCCATTCCCTACCCAACAACTACAATTCAGATAACCCTATCAGAAATTTTGTTAACTAATGTTATCCAACGTGATTCAGGGAACCAAGCCTATTCTAGCAAGTCAATTAGTTTTGGGGGTAATCAAGTAAGTCAATTTCAAACTAAAAAATTGACATAGAATTGGCAACACAAGCTATATGTTTTGGCAAATAAAATTAAGAACGACATGTATCTTCAAATTCAAAATAGGGGATGCAAGGAAAATTGAAACCTTTATATACCCTTTAAGTCATTTCATTTGGGATCAATTGCAGGCCTTGTTTATCTACAAAGAAAAACTAAAAAAAACATATTTTGAGACTGAAACTCACCTAAGTTCAAACAGATATAGTTTGATCCCAAAAAGCTTCAGCTTCTGTGAGCCCAACAAAATGAGAAATTCCCTTTTTTACCTTTGTTTTTGGCATCCAGATTCTGAGAAGAGATGACCCACTTAAGCCATTGCACGAAGAGAAAGACTCCGATTGAAGTCTCTGCACGGCTTGCAGGGTCAGCTCACCAACCAAATAGGAAGCCAAATGAAGCAAACAACCTTAATTGATGTAACTTGATATATTTAAGATCGAAACTGGGTGTGGTGTGAACGTGTCTTGCGGGTTTCAGAGAGAGACCAAGTAATAGAGTTGAAGAAAAGAAAAGAAAAGAAACAAACACAGCCAGCTTAAGTTGTTGCTGTTGTTGTGTTCTTGTGCGGGCAAGAAGCATAATTGGGCTAGTCAAGTCAATGACTCGAGGTGGCACACGCAGCCTTGTCTCTTTTATCTTTTTGATGAATTCACACGTATACAATAGAGTTTGTTAAACTGCAGTGTAAAGTTAAGAACGAGTTTCGATAAAAGTTAAATCGTAGAATAAGACACAGATTTTGCACATTGTATATACTACGTGGTGGTTGTTTACTTTTCTTTTTTCCTTTTTTTACCTTAATTGACTCAAAATAGAAAGCAAGAGGAGACAGAGTTGCACATAAAAAAAAAAACATAAAAAAAAAAAATATATATATATATTAAAATTATTAAATTTTTAATAGAAAATATTAAAATTCACATAATTATAATATTTAAGGGACTAAAATTATTCAATTAAAAATTAAATGAGCAAAATTACAAAATTGGAATCTTTTAGAACTAAAATTGTCTAATTAAAATTTTGAGGATCAAAATCGCACAATTACTATATTTAAGAGATAAAAACACAATTAAGTTAATACTATAAGTGTTGCTGCCTAGTGGCAATCTACAAATAGAATTCACCACATTGTAGTAAAACAGAATTAGTTTAAATAAAATTTTAAAACCATATTTAATGAGTGGATACTGAACTTATATTTTATCTTGCGTTAACTTTATTCACGAAGTCACAACTCACAAGTATTAATTTATTTTCTAAAATTATAAAAACACTATATATTCAATCAAATTATTATGTATGGATCAATTTAGTCTTTATTTTGTTATTTCAAGAATTATAATGTCTGTTGCTAGGTAATATAGTGAATTAATGACTGCCGTTTATAAATTTTAGGGAAAATTGCACTTATTTTTTCTTGGTCTTTGTAAACGACATGTTACACTATCTCTGATTTTAAAAAAAAAATAATTAAAAATATAATTTTAGTTTTTATAATTTTACTTATTTTATTTTTTAATTTCTATAGTTTAAAATAAATATTTTTAAACCTTTTTAATTCTTATAGTTTAAAATAAATTTAATTTCTATACTTACCCTTCTAAATTTCTTTTAGTTATTGCCTTTAATTTCTTTGAAACTTAGTCTCTTTTATATTAACATAGCATAGGCTTTCAAATGTGTCTTTGATCTTAAATTTATTTTGTTTTGCTTGGAGGGTGATGCTTGACATCAAAGTTAATCTTGTAAAGAGAAATTTGTTACTATCTTCTAATTTTAGTTGTGTGTAGTGTAATCAAGGTCTTGATACCTCTTGCCATATATTTTTTGAATGTTCATTTGCATACCAGGTTTGGATGTTGTGTTTGAAATGGTGTGGCCTCTTTACAGTTCATCAAAATAATTTCATATCTCATTTTGAGCAGTTTCTAAGCCTTCCGAGTTGTGGTGCTAAAAATCAGTACAAATGGGCAGTGATCTGGTTGGCTTCAATTTGGAGTATTTAGTTGGCGAGAAATGAAGCTATATTTACTAATAAATTTACATCTCTAAATGATCTGGTCGAATTGATAAAACTACGCTCTTGGAAGTGGCTGAAAGCTAAAGATCTTGATTTTTACTATTCGTTCTCTTGTTGGGGAACCTGCTGCATGTCTTAATCTTTATTAAGTTAACTGTATATGGTTTAGAGTACCCCTTGTACTCGCTTTTAATATATTTCATTTTGCCTAGGAAAAAAAAATATTGTTGAGACAATTATTGTTTGATTTTTCACATACAACATTATCATAGTTAATTAACATGAATAATAGTAATCAAAATATGACAATATCAATTGTGAAAAAATTGGACAATAAGTAGATCAATAATGAATATAAGTGAGAGTAAAAAAGAGATAGAATGTTGAGAGATCTAGCTAGGATAATTCCAACAAGAATAAATTCAATATAAAAACACAAAATCAAAAACTTTTAGCATGTTACACAGGAGAGATGTTAGTATCAGTTTAAAGGCACTATAAAAAGTTTACAAAGGTAAGTATTGTAACTAAAAAAGGCTTATCTTATACTATAAAAAATTTTAAAAAATTATTAAAAGAAGTAAATATAAAGACTAAATTTTTTTATTTTATATTATAGTGACTAAAAGATAAAGTAAATAAAATTATAAAAACCAAAAAGATATTTTTTTTAAAAAAAATGAACAATTTCTCCAAGATAGTATTTTGAAGAAGGGGTCTGTGCCACTTTGATAAATAAAATAAAAATAAGTATTATTTTATTAAAATATAAGAGAAGTGAATGTCTATTTAAAAATTAGAGGAGATGTGAATTTCACTTGAAAAGATTTCAAAGGGATAAGGATAATTTTTTATTTTAAATTCTAAAGTGATATTTTAATATTTTTAACAATTAAATAAATTGTGTATAATTTTTAGAATTAAATTAATCACGAACTAGTAGGATAAAATATATATAAAAACAAATATTTGTGTGTAAAAAAATAATTTTCCTTATTTTATTTTATGAATATAGTGAAAAATATTTCTTTACCATTAAATTAAAAGAAACATCAAATTAGACTACCGTGTCCCAAGTTTGACACTTTTTCAAAGTGGATATGTCTTTAATGGACTATGTCCACACAAATTAAACACATTTCCATCATAGACACATAAAATAAAGAAACAAAAATAAAAATAAATATTGATAAAAACAAAAACAAATAAAAGGGAATTTGGATTTTTTTTAAAACAAATCTCGATAAAAACATAAATAAAGAAAAAATGGATTTTTTTTATAAAATAAATCTTGATAATAATAATAATAAATATTTGAGATTTAAAAAAAAAAGAAAAAAAGTCTTGATAAAAATAAAAATAAAAAAGATAAAAAAAATTGATTCTCCTTGCTCAACTTTTATTTAATAAGGAGGATTTGATATTAAAAAAAATTATTATACATTATAATATTTATTAACAATTTATTTTTAAATTTTAATAAATTATTATTATATTAATATATAATTTTATAATATTATTTATAATGGAATGTTAATATACTCTCACCTATTTTTTTAGTAGGAGTATGTTAGCAACCTACACCAAAATTTTAGGACAAAAAAATCATTCATTTCTTTTGATTTGGTTAATTTGTACAAAAGATATTATAGTAATTTAATTTAGTTTTAAATAAAAATAAAATATTTTCTCTCTCTTATTAACTTTATTCTCTAAGTCATTTCTCTTTCCTATTAAATTCCTTCTCCAACTCATTTATTTTTCCTATTAAATTTTTTCTCTAACTTATTTATCTCTCTCATATTAAATTCCGTCTTTAACTCATTTCTCATCACTCATGATGTCTCCCCCCTAACAAATAAAAATTAAAAAATTAACTAATAGAAAAAAATAAATGAATTGGAGAATTAAGTTAATAAGATAGAGAAAATATTTTATTTTCATTTAAAATTAAATTAAATTACTATAATATCCCTTATACAAATTAACCAAATCAAAAGAAATGAGTGATTTTTTTGTCTTAAAATTTTGGTGTAGATTGCTAACATACTCCCACTAAAAAATAAGTGAGAGTATATTAGCATTCCCTTATTTATATAATATATTATGAGTTAATCACCTATACATTGTTAATATAAATTTTTTTTTATACTGACAACCAATTATATCTTATAATTCTCACCTAAATGACGTCGGAACAAGGCACCACCGACGTTATAAAAATGCAGTGGCAGAATGATAAATAATGGGAACTAATTTACGTCGGACAAAGGGGGGTCCGACGTAAATTATCCCATTAACGTCGGAGCTCTCACTGTATAGCTCTTAAACTTGGCAGCATTTGGGCCTGATGCCTTGCCAGAACGAGGATCCACCTCAACCGGTGTCCTCTCCTTGGCAATGCGTCCAGCTGTCAACCCAGACAATCGGGTGACAGATCTACCTTCCCTCCTTCCACTGCCAGACCCAGAATCCTCCATAATCCTGAAAAAATTAAACTTTCATTATAAAAACAATGAATTAACTGAATAGACAAATAAAGTAAAAAAGATAATAACAATATAACAACAAAATAACTAATAAAAAAACAAATAATACACAAACAGAAACCTATCTGGAACAGCCCATACTAAAATCAGAACGGGCCGTTCCAGATAAACAATTTATAATACAAAAAATTTAAGCAGAACGGCCTGTACTGCATGCAGAACGGGCCGTTCTGCAAGCAGAATGGCCCGTTCCAGATGAATAAATAGCAGAAAATAAAAAAAATTTGCGTAGACAAGAAACTAACCTCAAACGTGTAATGTGTAAACACTTAGAGAGTTACAAACGTCCAATGTAGAAACAAACGCACTGAGAGACTTAGAGATTCAGAGAAAAGGGATTATTAGTTTCGTAAACAGGGAGCGCGGGAATGAAAAGTGGAGTGGGCATTTGATTTTAGGGGCATATTTACGTCGGGTGAGGGTTGGTGCGACGGAAATTTACGTCGGACAAAAGAGGGTCCGACGTAAATTATCCCATTTACATCGGAGCTCTCACTGTCCGACGTAAATTTACGTCAGACTACGGGGGTCCAACGTAAATTTACGTCGGACAGTGAGAGCTCCGACGTTAATGGGATAATTTACGTCGGACCCCCCTTTGTCCGACGTAAATTAGTTCCCATTATTTATCATTCTGCCACTGCATTTTTATAACGTCGGTGGTGCCTTGTTCCGACGTCATTTAGGTGACGTAAAAGCCTCTTTTTGCACTAGTGCTTAGTAAGATGAATGCACTAAGATTATCTGTTATCTTGACATAAGTGTCTAACAAACAAAATACCTCATCTACAAGGTATTTACTTTGAATTAA